AATATTTTATATCCGGAACTAATTAAAGATCTCATTCCCCAAACAGCCAGATAGGAAACATAAGCAGCGCCTCCAGATGAAGGAATCCTATTTTGATGGTTACTGTAATGAGCACATTCCCAAAGGAAAGAGCCAATAAAAAGCATCTCCTATCTGGAGGACGCTGAATGAAAGTTGGACTTTTCTTAATTTTACTGCAATTCCTTATTGCATCATATCAGCCTCCACCAAAGGTCTCAGTTCAATTTTTCTGTAATGAATTTGGAGACTCAAAAGAAAAATTCCATCCCTTCTCAACCAGCTAAATTTCTCTCTTTGACTTAGAGCTGACAATGACTATGAGTAAAACACCATTTTTACATCACTCTATGCAGTTTTAATTAAAATTTATTAACTTGAGAGAAACAATCTCCTTATCACCAACAGACATTTAGAACAGAAATGCCTTTTATCATGTTATTAAACTGTTTCAGACAGAACCATCACTACAGCACACTGTAACTCAGCTACCTGGTGGTAAATTATACACATCTTTTCCCCTGCCCTGCCTTTCTGTTCACATAAAGTGTGCCTCAGGAAAAAAAATAAAAAAATAAAAGATCACACTTCTGCCTTCTGCAAAATTTTGTACCTACACTGATAAAAACATCAATGTACCTTGCCCAATACTTGGAATTAAAAAAAACAAATAACTGGGCCAGGCTGTGATGCACCAAGCCCTGGACCCTGTGCGCTTTGAAAGGATCTTTGGAGTCACTTATAGAAATGACAGCTGCAGCTAAGATAGTTGGAGGGAGAGCACATAAAAGCAAAAACATTTTTTAAAAAATTCTTTTAGAAAAGGAGAATATTTAAAATGCCGTCGGGTATTACGGCAGGGTGTTAGGCAATAGGGAATGATGAAGGGAGTTGGAAAAGTAAGCTGTAAACCAGGAGAACACCAGACTCCAAGTCCAGACAGGAAGAGATGGACGTGTTGGGTAGATTGGCAAGATGTTACTTGAGATGAGGGATGAAGGGAAGAGTTATTAGTGANCAGGAAATTGAACTGAGACACCTCTGAGCCAACAGACTAGAAGTTGTGTATTTGGTATAGAATACATTTTCTATCTGAATCCAGACTGTTACATTTATTCTTAGCTTATTTCTTGGCTTCATAGTCACTATGAACAATTTTTCGTCTGACAGAAGTCCTGTATACCTTGGAAAGAATTAATTTTCCTTTTTATAAAAAAGGTATCTAAAAAACCCCAAACCATTGAACCTTGTGAGGCTAACAAGAGAGATGCAATGGGCAGGCTGAGGAACACTTGAACTGTCAAAAGGGATTTCTGAGGGTCAGCTGAAGAATTTGCAGAAGGCAAGGCACAATCCAGATCTTGCATTCTCACAGGACATAGGCTCTGCATCTCTGTCCCTTTCTAATTTCAGTGCTGGGGTTTTTAATTTTCAAGCATATTCTTCTTATATTGCATTTTGCTGAAAGCAGTTAATTCATTTGGTTGGGCTTTTCCTAGATGTGTTTCCTTTTTGGTAAAAATGCTGAGCCTCCCCATGTTCCTATCAGTTGCTGATACACATTTTAAGATGGGGTCATGCTGCTGAGAAAAACAGTTTTTTCCTCTGAGAAGAAAACATGTCAGCAAATCTGGAGAATTTGTAGGCAAATGAATCCCATATGAGGACTTTCTTCCATATTTTCCAGTGGGATGATCAAAAAGGCTGGGATTGAATACCATCTCAGAAATATCTGAAGACTTTAGAGAATCAGACTCGTTCAGCCTTAGATGCAAGGATGGATCACACTGAGCTCTGGAAGACATCCCCAGTTCAAACATAGCTAAAACCTGGCAGGAGTGCTCCTTCACTGGTAGACAGCAAACAGCACACAATGTTCCACGATATTAATATAACTTAATAGAGCCACGATATATGGATATCCTCACACAAGTCTCATTTGGCCCACCATGCCATGATGGACAAATGGAGAAAAGAAATATGGGAGATTATCTGATTTAGAGACTTGTCCCAAAAAAAGCTGACAGCAGTGAACAGCGATGATAAACTGGGCCAATTGCTACATTTCTCACATTGGTCAGGGAAGAGAATCAGAGCAAAACACAGAAAACTAATTCACCCTAAAACTTAGAGGTGAGACTGAAGTATCTCTAGGATTTTCACAAAAAGAAGCAAAGCTGAAGTTTTCATTTCTTTTTCAAAGAATATGAAATAAACTTAGTGACTGTCTCAAGAAACAGAAATTCAACTACAGATTTTTTAAACTGTAACATCATAAATATCAGTAAAATGACAGGAAAATATTTATTTTTTGTACTGTATCATGCTAAAAAGAAAGTAATGCAAACTCTGAATTTTAGACAGAACTACTGTAAAGAGAGTCAAAGCCTTGAGTTTGCTGCTAAGAAGCTGAAAGCAAGGGCATAAAAAGCAGATAAGAAATCAGGAAGGCATTTTAGATAGTTCTCAGAGAAGATTATTCGAAGAAGGCTAGGGGGCTACATGCTTTTGACATTAATGAAAACTTGCAGCACTACTAATTAGATATTAAAATTATTGGCACTTAAGCACGCTTGGTAAAAAGTTCTGATGTGCTTTCAAAGCTTGGCTGCTGTTATAAAGGCACAGGCTGGAGGAGGAAGCAAAGACAGAGAGAAGACTGTTTGGGGAACCAGAGAGATGCTGTGCAACATGCTACTTAAGCAAAAACTAGCACCATGCAGCTTAAGCTCCAGTGTTCAAGTAGTCATCCCACCATCCCCATCAGTAACAAAGGAAAAAATGGAAAGGGCTCAATTCACCTGGTACAAATAAAGGTCTCTGACTTTTCTTGGAGTTCCCATTGAAAACTACTTTCTTATTAATGACTGAATAAATTTAATACAACTGATACAACTTATGTATTTCATATTGTGGGATCTGTATGAATTATGAATGGCATTGAATGCAGTCTGAAAACAGAAACCAGGTATGACATCTCAACCATTAAAGAAGTATATATAATTAAGGTGCAAAGTTAGGCAGACAGAATACTTTATAGCCAAACTTTATCTGCTCTCCCTGTCTTTTATTTAGCTGGGAGAAAGTGCATGTTATGCATTAAAAAAGAGATCCTCTGGAATTCCAATGCCCATTTAGTTTGAAAAGGTCATAAAGAGAAAGGTCAAGCTGCAAACTCTGTATTAAACCATGCCTCTACATAAGCCTTCGGGGGTTTTGTTGACATTACTGTGAACTATGCAGAGGTACTGAATCACAAAATACCAGATGGAGCAGGATCAGGTCTGGTTTTACAGCAGCACAGAAACCATCTCTTGCATCAGCAGTCACATACAGCCTTCTATATGTGACAGTTAACTTCTACAAATACCCCACATCTTTGACTGGGCTTTTCAGCACTAGACCTCAATGTTGATGATATCGAGGAACAATATAAAAATGTGGGGTTTGACACTGGCTAACAGCAGCAATCTGAATACACTGTCCTCTCTCTGTAAAACTCTCAGGATGGGCTTTGTCTTTGCTCCTTGCACGCCAAATGTCTGGAACAGCAGGGTCTTCTGCATGCCCAGGATTGTTGGCTATTCCTGTTGCAGAAATGAGTGCTGCTGGGAGTTCTATTGTTTGTAACAGCAGCAATATTTAATGAAAACATTCATATGGTAACAGAACCAAACTGGACGGTCAGGGTCACCGATTTCTCATTAAATCTAGGAAAGCTCTGTCTCAGTGACCTCTGCAGTGATGCAGCATCTTGCAACTTCAGAAGCTGCAGACTAGAGGGAAACCATTAGAATTGTTTAAACAGGGAAAATCTTCTATATCCTTTGAACTACTTTAGGCATAAAGACCACATTGAATGACAGAGGCTAAAATTTCCCGATTTTCTCCCTATCATCTCTGTTTGGTAGGCAAAAAATCAAATATCATTCTAAGGTGTTGCTTGATTTAAAGTCTCTCTTAATGAAAAAGAATGTAGTGGAAGAGCAGAGGCTTCCCTCAGGGCAGCATTTTAATGAGAATTGGTCAAGTTGCCATGGAAAGGACCAAAAGAAGTCCAGCAAAAGGTTCAAATAGGATAAAAAATGCCAATAACATCAAAAAGATGGATTTGTCCTGGGAGGAAAGGGTCAGTGAGGAAGGGAATGGAAATGTAAACATTAGTTAATAACCTGCATGTAGCATACTGAAGCAACCAAGGAAATGGCAGGAAAACCTTAGAAAACATATGCTGTCCTCCCCCAGGGACTAGCAGGAACGCCAGAACACGGTAGTAGCTTTGGGTTTAATTTTAATATGATTGGCACATCAGAAACTGTGCTACAAATTCAGAGAGGAAGTGGTGCTGCTTCTGTCTTTCATCTGCACAAACTGGCAATAAAAGGTGGATGAAAACAACTCTGACAGACCCTTTCTCCTGTGGTCCCTGTCCTTCCTGTTGGCTAAACCCATTTGCAAATAACTACGCTGAAATGGGAGCCAGGCTCAATCCCTGTAAATAAAGACTGCTGATGCACACTTTCTGCTAAGTCTGTGGCAAAGGCTTTTTGTTTCTCTAATCTTTCATATAGCATTCGCTTTATGATCCTTCATTTAAACAACTACACTTTGTGCAGATGCACTGTTTTACATCCAAAGATACGCAAACATTACGTACGAGCATCTGCAAATATTAAAAAGCACAATAGTTTTCCAGGGGAATTTCTCACTTTTGACATGTTAAATGAGTTATTTTAAATGACATTATCTGAATCAGCAGCAGAAGTGAGGAAAAAATACTTAAGAACACTGACTCCCATTTCTCCACTTCAACCCTTTGCTTCCTGTCATTTTGGCAGCTAATGGCATTTCCCTGTGATTTTAAGACTTCTGTGGCTTCTTCTCCTTTTTACTTAGGATGCTTCCCCCTCCCTATTTTTATAAGCAATTTTATGTAAGGCAATTTTGTGGTTGAAATCTCACATCAAAACACATTTCTCTGTTTCAGCTTGCATTCAAGACAAACTTTCGGTGGCTCCATTTGTAACCCATATGTTGAGGCATCCCATTCTGTTTCACAGTTAAATGGATGGCACTGGACTGTGAAAAGTTTGAATTAATTATTTGTGATAAACTGTGGATAATCCGTGAATAAAATGATAATAATTGGACACAAATACAGTAAAAGCTGTCATAGAAAGAAATGCAGCACATCCATGTGTCGCATCGCATCCTGTCACAGGCACTTATGAAAGATGTAATATAAATTGTCTCAAAAAACTTGCAAAAAATAAAAGGCAGCCTGGATAGTTGTATTTTAGCAAATGTGTTTGCACTAAGGGTACCTTCTGTTGAACAGTTCTGCCCACAAGCTGTCTGTAGAATATAGAACATCTCTCGAGCATGCTTGCCACCTTGAAGCAGGGCAGTCGGAAGCAGAAAAAAAAGAACAGAATGCAGAAAAAAAGGTGAAGAAAGAGAGAAATGAGGGACAGCAAGTCTAAGTACCATAAATACATTTAGAAATGAGATTAGCAAAGTATGACAATAGAATTTAAATGACAGACAACATTAAGATTGCAGTAAATAACATAGTATGAAAAAAAAACAATTCAGCCATACAGCGCTCTTTTTTAAGCTTAGCTAAGGAGTCATAACAAAAGCAGGAATATTATTGTTATTGTTATTATTATTATTACTACTGTTATCACTATATTAAAATAGCATTTTCATTTCATCATTAGGATAACAGATATAACTGGGGGGGAGGTGGGGGAGGCGCTTCACAGTTAGTTTTCTTGCTCTCAAAACCACACAGCCATGTGCTCTGCTTCCAGGGCGTCCTCCTCGCACCGCTGGCTCCCAACTTACCGACGATTTCGAACCAGAGAGGGATGTTAGAGGGCTCCACAGAGACCACCCCGACAATCTCGTTCACTTTATCGCTCTCCATGACGGTGAAGTTGTAGAAGGGCTCGTCGAAAGTCAGGGGCACGGGCGAGGGCGCTGGCTTTTTTATCCACTCAATATGGAGACGTGCAGTTGAAGATTTTTGGGGCCGGCCATTGTCCACTGCTTTTATCTGGCAGGCACAAAGAAAAGAGGGCTCAGGCTGAGCATCCCAGCTTGGCAAGTCAGACCTAATTCTACTGCTGTGAGGTAACTGCTTGGAAAATGGGTTTTGGTAATCCTGTATGTAAAATCCCACGAAGAAAGAGGAAGATAAACACTTACATCTCAGTTCTCACTTTATTGGGTTTTTTTTTTCTTGCATAATGCTTTGACTTCTCACTGAAAAACACTTGATTTTAAACTGAAATGTTTTCTTTAAGGAATGCTGGTATGACAACTCCTGCAGATGCAATTCAAACACTCCCCACACAGATCCTCCTCTCCAGAACCAGCTTCCCTCTCTGATTTCATCTTGTACCCAGCTCCCTCTTGCAGCAAAGAAGGAAGCTTTGTAATGACCCTGTGTGAGACTGTACACTTGCAAAACATGCTCACTCAGAGCATGTCTGACTGCTTTCAAATGGCAAGTTTTCTGTTGGACACAAATATTCCTTATATTGCCTTCCTCAGGGTTTTTAATTTAATTAAATAAGTTTCAAGTAATTTCCCTCATTCTCCATAATGAATATAATTTAAAAATTTGCCGTATTTTCTTTTCTTTCTCCTGGCTGTCATGTTCATTAAAAGCTGCTTTGATTGGTGCTAATTCTTATTATTATAAAGTCCTCTGGAAAGATGGATAGACTTGATATTTGTGTGGCATGCTTAATGGATTTAGCATAGCAAAGACAAGAGGAGCAGCAACAAACACTGGGCTTATGAAAAGGCTGAATGCAGGTTATAAAATGGGTGCTTTGATGGATAACATCAATGTTAACAAAAAAGGCTTTTTTTTAAAAAAAAAGGGGTAATGTTTCTGGCTATATGGGACCACTGGTGTAAATATGATGCTTTAATATCTTCTAAAAATGGAAAATACTTTTTTTCCCCCTGAAATATCATCATGCCCTATTTCTTCCTCTGGAAATGTGTTAAGTGGGTTTGATGCTAACACTTGTCAACCTGTTCCATTCCAGGCAGGCAGTCCCGCCCTTTGTGAAGAGATGCCGAGGCTGTAATGAGCAGTTTCTAGGTAGAAAATCTTCAGTTGTTGCATTATAAGAAGGCTCAGATCTCAAACGTGACTTTGAGGTCATCAGAGGGAAAAGTACTCACTCACTTGAAGGCTGCTCTACTCTGATTCCTAGGTATTTCTCAACATTTTGTTATTTATTCCTTTTCCAACATTATGAAGGCAACACACCTGTAAGATACATTACTTCCAGATGCCAGACCATGGGCCTCTGACACTTTTATTTCAACTCCTTAACTACAACTTGTTGGCTTATTTCTATGGACGAACAGCACACATTTCATTATATGGCTTTTTATCAACTCAAACATATTTTATTCCCCCTTTCTTTCACTATATGGTTACAGTTCTGAAAGAAGAATTTTGACTGAGACTTCTTTTAACTGAAATTGTTTCCACAACACAGAGTACACAGTACTCCACAGTACTTAAATGCAGCCACATAACTGGGACAGTAGATGCCCTCTGTACGGGCAAACAACTGTACTTACTCAAAAAGTAAGTAGTCATTTGTAGCTGTATCTGCCCCAGCCAACACGATACAACTTTGGGAGCAGACAAGTGCTTGCTTGGTCTTCATTTCTGAATATTCAAGGGAATGGCTTATGCTAACAATTTACAGGCTGACTTAACACTCAGAGACTACCTCATGACTTGCAATAGCATGAATGATCTCTCAGACTCAGTTTTTTGGGGATAGTTGTATATGAATACTAGTTTTCTTAATTTAGGTCTTACATGCGGGGCATAAACACAGTTATATATATATTCCTCTTCATACAGGAAGACCTATTTCTGGAAAAGAAAAAAAAAAAAAAAAGTCAGTCAAATCATGGGTTTGTATGTCAGCGAAAGAGTGCTTACTGTTAAGATGTCGTAACTCCCTGCTGTGAACTGCTTTCTGGAAGAAACCATCCCTGTTTTGGGATCAATGAAAAACTTCCCGTCATCGTTGCCATCCACAATGCTGTACGAGATTTCCGCATTAGGGCCTTCGTCTTTGTCAAAAGCAAAAGCTCTGTAGATTGGCTCCCCTCTTTTCTTACGGTCCCTCTCGGGCAGCTTGATCTGATAGGCTTTCTCTAGAAACTGTGGTTTGTTATCATTCTCATCCAGAACCTGGACCACCACCCAAACGGAGGATTGCTTGGGAGATGTGCCCCCATCTGAGATGGTTACCTGGAAAACAGCAGCACAAGTTATTCTCAACAGCTGCAGTGGGACTTCAGAAACTGGAGAAAAATATAGAACAAAAGGGAACACCTTGCCTTCCACAATGCCAACCTGCAGTTTACTACATCTTCTGTGCACACAACAAATGATTACTATAAACATGCTCAGTGCTTAACTCAATTTGTCCACAGTGGCAAATCAAAATATATTTCACTTCTGAGATGAATGTGGAATAAGGAACTTGCAGACTAGGAAACTATTTCTCAAAACAGAAAATTCTTTTATTTCAAATTCTGCAAGTTTATCTCAGAAGAGAGAACTGGAATTAACCCATTAATCAGGGATCCCTGCATTTTTTTGCATACATATTTTAAAGTTTCTTCTGTCATGGAAAGAATTTGAAAGTTGCATTTCTTCTTAAACCGTAAAAGAACCTCTGTCATTTTTTTTTTCCATTAATTATTTGGAATTTCTTAAACAACAAAAGGATTTCTGTCAGCTCTTTTCATTCATTACCCAAGACGTGACAGCTCATTAATTCCAAACCTGCTTTATAAGATTATATGGAGCACAAAGAGGCAGGTAACAAAAAATTTCTGCTGCATTGTGTAGAGAGTGCACTGAGCTGCCAGAAACATGTAAGAAATAAAATCTTTGAGATGAAAGTTAATTAGTAATTTAGCTGCAACTTAAACAGAATTACTAATAATTTTCAATCTGAAACACTATGAAAATGAAATGATTCAAGATCAACAAGCCCTCAAGAGATTTAATAATATGCCTTCAAAATGAAATCAATATGTTTCAAACTTCTCCCTCAATATTTCGATTGCATTCTTAATGAGAAAGAAATAAGGCAGAAAGTTATTTTTGTTTGCATGAAAGAAGTTCAAATTTCATTTTCAGCTACATATGGTAACATGCCAAATCCCACAGTAGCAATTTCTGATGACAGTGAGCCAAGATATTACATACCCTTCCCTGCTCATACTGATCACTAAACATCGATTGGTTTGCTGCTAACTTCTTGATTTATTTTTCCTTAAAAGTTTCTGTGTTCTCTTGCAAATCCTATAGTCCTGATGTCCAATCCTTAGGCAATGCAAAATTTTCTGGGAATAATACCCCTCTGTGCATTATTGGTGCAGATGGCATTGTCCCATCCTTGTGTAAAATCTAAACTTAGAGTAAATAACCCTGGTTTAACACTGAGATCAGCAGAAAGATTGTATTTTCTGTGAGAAGGGTAAAAGATATTATCCCTCTTATGTATTTAGCTATGTGTTTAAAAACTGATGCAGTGGAAGGGAGTAGACTGACAGCTTCAGGGACAGAGGCTCATTTACAGAGAAGTGAGGAGCATGGCAACATACAGTGGTAATGTAAATTCCCCAAAACAGCCCAGAACCCACTTGGAGAATGGAAGCCATCCTCCCAACAACACATCCCAGTCTCAGGCCTCCTTCTCCCAAGACTGGAGTAGAGTTTCCCAAGTGCTGAGTAGGTCTGGCAATTAGCAGTTGTTGGGATCACCACTCCTGTGATGGGGACAGCTGTTTGCAGAGTGCTGGGTGGGGATCAGACCCATCCTGCAAAGCCACCAAGGTGACACCTGCCAGTCACCAGCACTGGGGTGTGGGAAGAAACCCGACATCATTATCAGTGTGCTCAGCCATCCAGTTCCCACTGCCAACACTTTCCAAAACAGCATTTTTAATGCTGAAAGGCTGTACACACAGCTGTGAATCTGCCTTTCCACATGATGAGAACCACGCCACCAGGGACCTCAGCCTCTCCACTTCACTGATGATCCCCTCTATTTCTGTTCTACTCTGCTGCAACTGGCCAAACTCTAGGCCAGACCACAAGTTAACAAAGGAAAATCCTTTTTGGGTTTCTCCACAGATAAAATAATCATTGATGACAAGCAGTACAGGCTGTATTGCATAGAAACAGATACACACTAACACAAACTCAAAAAATATGAACAAAATGATTTTTTAAGGAAAAATATTCTTGCATAAAAAAGTATTAGTGAGATTCTGGAAACTTGTTCTCTAAACAAATGCAACTTTTTCTCTTTTTTTTTTTTTTAAAAAAAAGACATTTCCTTCAACCTGCCAGCAGTAATCAACTAGAAAGGTGTGTGAATGAGATAATGGGCTTACAACCAACTATGACAATAAAATCTATGAAAACCACAGTGGTTTAACAGTCAAACAACTATGATGAAAAAACCCTACTTAAGTCAAAAAACTACTCAAGAAATTAAGCACCCTTCTGTCTTACTAGTACATTCTCACAGTTTGTCAGGTTATTTCTGAAATCCTGACTAGCATAATGTTGTGGCAGCAAATATTTGCATGCATTTTGTTTAGTAAACCCAGACTTGGGGGAAATGTATTCAATAACATAAAAGTTGCACTGAAAATATTTGCTGACAGCTAACAGGAAAGAGTAATGGCAATAACATGAAATGACAGCTAAATAATAAAAATTAAGAAAGAATGCCTGAAGTTAATCACTTCTACTTGGGCTAAAACTTTACATCCCTGGAGAGGAAAATACTAGGTATCAGCTAAGCCTTTTTCTCTGGGTGACACTCAAAACTTCTCAGAATTACTGGGTGCATCTCCACTCAAAAAGCTCTGAGTGCCAGACACAGGAGTTGAAGTTCTCTCTTTGCAGGCATGCCCATTTGCCTAAGTCTCCATCATACCAATGATGTGATTATTTCCCTTATTGTAAATCTGCACCATGGCTGACCCCTTTTCTGTGCTCCATCATCCTGACCCAGGCCTGGCTATTCAGGTTCCAGCCACAAACAAAGTAAAAGGGCTGCAAAAATTTCCTCTGCCCCTACAGAAAAAACCCACCATGACAACACATCAAAACAAACTAAGAAACTGCTGCCAGTTCAGAATTGTTCCCAGACGAAAACAGGGAGAACCATAGAGGTCATTCAGCACATCACTCTGCAAATACCATTTCCATCAGGACACAATATCACACCAGCACTTAGGGGCCCCTCTAACCAAGGCAATTTCAATTCAAACATTACCACAGTTCTTAGCTAAACCCTTGAACAGCTGGAAATTACAGTAAAAAGTAACCAGGGAGGGGAGGGAGGTTAGGATGTTCATAGCACAAAGCTAATTCACAGCTGGTATCTCTGGAAACGCAAAAGGCAGATGTACAAGGCACAGGAGAGCTTGCAGGAGAGAAGCTGTAATTTAGGACCAGTGAGGTTTTTTTTGTTTAGAAACCTGCAGGTAGCATGATAGGAAAAAGAAAACAGAGAAGAAAGGTAATGCAGATGAATGACATGTGAATGACATCTGTCATTTATCTGTCAGTCTGAGGCAGACTGTCTCCATACATGCTTGTCAAGACGTGCCATTGAAAACCCAACAAGAGGTGACTCACGGCAGTCAGCACGGGAAAAGGGTAAGGACAAAATCATGGCTTTCCCAGCAGAGATGAGGAACAGCTGCTTGGTCAAGCATGTGCTTTCCTAAATGGTGAACACCTTCTGCTGTCTGTGTGATGAGTCCAGTATCCAGATCCAACTGCTGCAGAAAAGCTGCTGCTTGCCCATGTGCAGCTGAGATGGCCCAGTTACTGTCCCCTCTGCTGCCCTGGTTAGATACTGCTGCTCATGCTGTGTCAGGACAGCCCAAGCAGAGGATACAACCTCCCAAAGATGGGACACAGCCATGGAAGCAGCTGAATTTGGACTCCCTGACTAATCAGACAAAGGCTTGGTCAATTCAGCAAGGGTGGAATATCTTAAAAGGAATGTGATTACATATTTAATAGGGCCTGAATGCAACAGACAACAAAAATAATATGAACTATTATATATTTTCATGGTGAAATACAAAGCATTGCTGCTGTTTTCTCAGAACCTACAGACAGTTCCTCTACAGTTTTCTCCACGAAATGAGCGTTTTCTGTTAGGAATCTGTATTTATCCATTGGCTTTATTGCTAATGACTTTACCGAAATATGTCTGTCAATACACATACAGGTATTGGTTACCTGGGAATTTCTTTGCTAAACTAACAACAGTCACATCTCCCTTACAATGTTTCCTTTAGCTGGATGGACCAGGACAAGGCCTCATCAAATTCCCTCTATTTCTCTCAGACATGTTTTTTTTGAGGAAAATGCACTAACATATCTCCTTCTGCAGCATATGACAAATTCAGCATAATAACAACTTTCTGTCAGAGTAAAACAATTTCCACTTTATCTGCAGGATCTACTTTAGTAGGTTTGGTCTACAGACATTAACACTCCCTTCCCTACAGGACTAAGGGATATTCATGTTTATGTTCATATCCACAGAACAACTACAAAGGGATTTCCATAGCAGTGGACCTTGTCAGTGAAAATGAAAACTGACACTGACTGTTAACATACCACAGCTGGAATGTTAGATGTGAGAATTTCTTCTTTTTATGACTAAGGAGAAGGCATGGAGGAGACATCTACTGTGAAAGTCTTGCCTAATAATCCAGCCTAATCCAGCCTAGTAGACCTAGGCAATGGGGACAAAAGGAATTTTGCCTTGGGACAGTCACTCCTCCTGTGAGTCAGACTGTGACACTTAATCGGAGAAAGTGTAGTTCTTGAACCTTTCAGAAAACAAATACAACTGTGAGGACCAGCCTCCTGAATTAGGAGTACTATACAGAGTCTCATTAACAAAAGCTCACAACTTCCAAGATAATTATTAACTCAGCTGGAGGGAGTAGCTAGCAGGGATGTTACTTCAACAAGTACAAGACAATTAGCAGGTGTTTAATGTGAGTCATCAAGCCTTGAGAAGAACAAGTATCTTCTTCCATATCATTCTTTGGCAGGAGGAAGTACTCAGCCTACCAAATTTTTAAGTTTTGAGGAACTGCCACATCACTGTCATTAGCATTGCAAAAAGCTGAAGATGTCATATTTGCTTGTTTATTTTTTTTTTTTTGTGTGATAACTGCTTAATGCAAAAT